ATACGCTTTCGCAAAAATTAGACAGATTTATTCTACTATCTAACGCGGTGTAGTCGACTACGTCAATTACGCTAACGTGAGAACAGTATTCCTTTAATGACTCGAATTATCGAAATTTATCTGAATCTAAATGAATTACTTTTCGGAACAGCTACTCTTTTATTATCTGACTCGACAACTAATGGTCCATGACCCTTTTAGCCAAAACGAATACTGATATCCAAAACCAGAACGCTTAATTGGGGAGCCTGCGTTAGCTAGCTGCTAAACAACCCACGACCAAGTGTCCAAATGGCATATACCCGCTTGACCAATCAAGTATCAAGATTCGTTGCGGCTCTTGACAGCGAAAACTGTTCCTAATTATTCTTATCAAAGAGACTTCTATCGTGCTCGACTGCGAAAACTGTTCTGCTATTAAACGGGTTTCGCTCGCCCTTTTATACTCGCAGGTTCGCCGAATTCCTGAAATTTCTGTGACGTCAGAATATCTAAATTTTCATATAATTTCGTTATTATACATTAATTATAAATTTGAACGGTTCAATTATATTTTAAATGTTGCTCTCTAATTTCTGGCTAACAATTTGATATTAAAATAGTAGTATAACGGTGTTTTAGCGAAAAATACATTTTTTGTCCTTTTCTAATTAACTGCGTACGAGTTCTATGAGAGCTGAATCTATTCCGATTTACAGCTTTTTAATTGAAGAAAATAATTGTGGTTCCGGCCATGAGTAGTTTAGTAATGACTGATTTTACGTATATAAATTGATTTAGTTAATTAATTAATTTAATGCCTGAAAATGCCGTAAATAGAAATAGTATCGCTATCCTTTTCTAGGATTAGCGCTGATCTCAAGGATTTCGGGCGAGTATCGCGGCACGTAGGCACATCATAGCGTAACGGAAATTTCTCGTACAAACTATTTATTAGAAAATAAAATAAAATAATACATAATCTTGTTTTAATGATTCAAACTTAATGTTCAATTATTTTCGCGGAAAATATTACCTACTCCAAATCAAAATTATAAGATAACTAATATAAATGATAATATATATATATGTACTGATTACCGACTGTCGAATTTGATAGATATGGTAATAGATACCTAATGTACTGTCGATAATTGGCAACTACGGTCGATAATTGACTATTCTAATCGATGGATAGAAGATTGTCGCGATGATGCCGGTAGAAAGAAAAAAAAAAAGGTTTCCCCAGGGATGTTACACATGTTGTGATAAAAAAATCTGTTTACACAAACAGTCAAGACATGTACATAGTTATAGAAATATTTTCGGAACCATCCATTATGTACTGAACTGCAAAATTCATCAAAAACATATATTGTACTTCGCCTACAATTAGCAGGAAGTAGAAGAGTATTTCTTCGACATTTGTCGAATTGATCGCCGATTGAGATAGCTGAAATAAATAGCAAAATTTAGTAATCCTGTAATTCTCGATTGTACGACATTACGTCATTTATTTCGGATAATATAAATATAAATTATTTACCACAAATAAATTTATACTCAGGGAAGTCACACCCAGTATTATTAGAGGAGTATATGATAACTTAAAGTAGGCATCACATTCATCACAAAACCTACAAAATAAAATGTATCAATTAAATAAAGTATGATCACAAGTTAAAGAAATGAAGCGAGTTAGTAGTTTACACTATTCATGTAAAAAATGTATGCATAAATTATTTGGTGCAATTTAAAATTCAAACTCTACATATTTTGTGTAAATTACATAATTTACTAAAACTGTTAACATTTTTTAATGTAGGTATGAAAATATACTCACTTAATGGTTTCTCTATGCATGATCACACTTCTAATTAAATAACTCACATTCTTATTATTCGTATATTTCCGTGAAATAAATGAGTCAGTTACTTCTATGGCAACAGCTTTCTGGAAGTAATAACTGAAAGTGATTAGATAAATAATCCTATTAGATAAAGATATAATACTTGACAATGGTGATGTACCACCTATTTAGTTAGAAACGGAGCCTTCTTATTATGAATTGCATCCACCTTGAAGATATTCTTACAATTAATCATTTCTTTACAATACCTTTCAATTGTTTTAAAGATCCATATTTGGATTAATTGAAATGGAATATTGCATACAAGAGTAATATAATATATATATGCAAAGTGTCTTACAACTCGTGTAACTCCCGGAAAGAGGTGGTAAAGGACGTGATTCTGAACAAGATTTCCCTTTGCAAAAATGGGTTTTGCAGCTTTGTTTTTAGAACAATCAAAGCGCGAAGATTACGCGCGCCGAGAAGTGGGAGCGACAGTTTCGAACCTTGCAGCTGAACGCGATAATGATCAAGCGCCGTAACAGGATAAACTGTTTGTTAAATCTCACTTAAATAATGAACAGAGTAATTGCAAATAATGTTCATTTAATCGTTTGTCATGAGTAAGGCACAAAATTAGTTATATGTAATTAAAAGAAGTCGGGCAAATAAAATTTCTGTAATTTTAAAGTTACATAAAACTTATAAACTATTAAAATAAGACTGACCAATTGTTTAAAAATAATCCTGCTTGATGAAAAATGGATCCTCGTAACTAAGTCATTCCATCGATCATAATTATTGGTGAAAATAATACGCAACTCATAATAGTTGATATCATAGCTGGTTCACTTTACTATCACATCTTATTATCACTTTTCGCTGTAATATTTTGTTGCCACTTTTCATTGTCAACGAAATAACGATGGATAAACAAGCGAAGACTCGTGAATGATTATCCGAAAATAAGTTCTATGATTTTTTTGTCCTTAACATTTCGCTTTGAACATTCTATCCTAAACTGCCGATTGAGATTCCAAATATTCCGAGCTTAGAGAAAGCGGGAGTTCTGGGCAACGTCTTCGGCCGTTCCGACGGTAGTCAAAGAATCGAGTCAAAGAATCATAAAACAATTAAACGGCTCCGTTTTACTTGCTGGACGGTCGCTTCGTAGGCATCCGAGAAAACCGTTGTCCTTTTCTCTTTTTGAAAGGTAAAAACGATTTTCACCTTTTTCTAAAGAAAGGCATAATTTCACTTTCGTTTGAGTGTCAAACGTCCTTGTTGCAAGGGACTGTTCTCTAAAGTTTCCGTCGAACATGTTCGTCGTGTTGCGTTCGGCAGTTCCGGATAGACTGTCGTGTGTTCAACAACAAAGAGAAAATAAAAAGTAGCTGAAACTTTTTGTGAATAATCGTTTACGCGCTTTCATTCACGTTCTTTATCTGTGGTTCTTTCATTAAGAAATTAGTGAACAGTGGTAGCAGAATATTACAGTTAAAAATACTAATTAGAAGTGATAGTGAAGTGAAATGAGTTATCTGACCAGATTGTGACATTAGATATTGTGCAGTGTGTCTTTTTACGAAGCATTAGGATCGATGAAGTCACCAGAACTCAATTTTACTGCAACAGGATTATTTCTAAACAATAGGTGAGTTTGATTCAAATTTACTTATCGCGTATTTACAAAAAAATGAATAAGCGAACATTACTTGTAATTTTTCTTTTCGTTATTTCCTGAGTTTCGATGTAAAGACCTCTTATTAGACGTTTAGATTGTCGCGAGGAGAAGGCACTTAATCGCGTTCGCACTCCGTTGCCAGGTTTGAAGCCATCGCTCCCGATTCTCGCGCGTAATCCGCGCCCCCCGTGTTTTTGCTTAATAATTTAAAAACGAAATTTCAAAACGAAATCCCATTTTTGCAAACGGAAATCTGGTTCACAATCACGTCCTCTACCACCCCTTTCCGGGAGTTATATAATACATAATACATATATATATATATATATATATATATATGATTATATATGTATATACATATATAATCACAATTACCTAGTAATTTCAAATAAGCTGGCAACATGTAAGCCGATCATAATCGTTGATGATTCTGTTCCAATATATATAGCGCCAATCATCGCTAGCCATAAAATGTATATAACAGAAATGAGAATAGGATGACTGTCCTGGTCGAAAAGGAGTTCTACATCCACAGGATACGTTATTGGCCGAGATTCATTAAGGGGTGCGATGATATCCAAAATAATAGGTGAAATATGAGACAATACCATTATGCTCGCGGCCGAGTAAAGAACAGCTGCAAGACATATGATACTTTCATTTTTGTACTTTCAATGTTATGAGTCTTGAAATTTTTATTTACATGCGAAAAGTATTGACAGCTGTTTTCCCAAATAGTTGTAGTTCTGCATAATTTGAAGTATCACATCGTCATTCGTTTGCAAGTCGAATTTAATTCGATCTATAAATCCTTTGACCTATATTTTACGCTGATTTTTATATTTGTAATTTGCTGCTACATTTTGTAACTTACTGTGTTAGCTTGATACCAAAACGCGTGATATTTTACAAATGAACCCATAGACACAGTCACACCGGTCAGGTTCCTTAGCACACGATACACCGTCATTTCGATGGTAGTAAACGCTAAAACCTAAATAATTTTATTATATTGTTAATTATTACTTCACCTGAGTCGAAAACACAATATATACAGGATGTTCGGCTACTGGTGGGCATAATTTTAGGGGGTGGTAGCTGGAGTAATTCTGAACAACTTTTTCCTTTACCAAAATGCTGGTTAAAGCTTAGTTTTTGAATTATTAATAAAAAACACTAACCAATGAGAGCGCATATAGACCAGTCGCGCGACAGCGTGAGTGACAGCTGTGGGAATTGGTGATCTTGAAATTAACATTTATCTTTCTTTGAACTAAACTATTTTAATTCATTGTAAAAATACATAAAACCATTTTTCCATTATTCCGGCGCTCTCACTCCACTCTCATTTTTTTTATTACTTCCCCTTTCTTTTTTTCAGTCCTACCAATCTTCTCACGCATCCCAAACTCCTCACTCATACCAACCTACTCACTCGTACCAACTTACTCACTCATACCAACTCACGCACTTATTAAAAAACTAACTTCACAACAGCTTCGAATATGACGGCCGATCGTTGTCGTGAACAAATGTATCGATACTATCGGTATAACGTCGGTATAACAGGAAGCTATTAGGTAAAAGTTAAATTGAATAATGAATTAACATGTTAAGAATAATATTAAATTCTTCGTAATTCGTGAATAAGAAATAGACCAATTAGTTGTTGTTTACAACAACCAGACGAAGTATATTGTTATATACGCGATTGGGGAAGTAGTCCCACGAGCGGACTGCGCGATGCGGTCACGAAGATCGCCGGAGACAACCGAACGGTACCGAGCGAAAACCGCGCGATAATTCGATCGGCAATTGTTTTTACACTGCGTCTTCCCGCTCGGCCATGCGTTGGCGTCATTCTACGTTTTGCCTACGTCTCGTTCACACCGTATTAAATAAAGTTAATTGTTATTTAAAAGTATTACAAAAGTGTTCATTGGTCTCCCCGCCCAAACACAATAATATATTTTATAAAACATTATATCGTGTAAAATTAATCTTGTCAAAAAATACATTTATCGTTCAGTTTTTGTGAATTAAGATATATACAATGTTGCGCAAATACGACAATGGAAGTAAAAGGGTTAATACATTAAACGATAAGGTGTTCATGTTCCTACTTTACCAAACAATAACGTACAACTATAAAAATCTTATAAACGATATACAATAGAATAGTCCCATATCTAAAGTATTATTCCCATTATCAATCCCACAACATTAGAAATGTTAGCAACAAATTATAGAAATCGATCTAAACGCTTACTATCGTTGGAATGGAAATTAAAATAAAGTTAAGTATAGAAACGATGTACTCTTATTCAATGTTGCTGTTGTGCATCATATTATAATACATACGATAGGCTTTATATTAATTATTAAATTACTGTGATGGATTTTTGTTATTTCTTAAATGTTGTTCGATTGCTTTACATTTTTATATGAAGTTCTTCCGAACATTTATTTAATATTTATAATATAATGTATGTCTGAGGAGCGCACAGGCCACTGCAATATGAATATTTTCTTGGCTAAAGGAAGGTATAATAAAATATACAATAATTTCTGCACGATAATTATTTTTTATAGTATATTATTTTATTAAAAAATGTAGGTGGACAAATTTCGCCGAGTGAACGATTGAATAGGAAAACTTCAGCATAATATAACATCTTAGAGTTTTATAAAATCGGAAATTTTTTTTTTGTTGCATTTATAATTATACGTAACTTTCCAAAGTTCAATCATTTGCCAATTTTTTCGGTATTCTTTTCATTCTCCTTGAAAAACTTGTTTATTTTAACAGAAAGAATTAACGTTTCTCAAGGCGCCGCTTGACCGCATCATAAGAGGTCTATATTTATAGGAGTTACATCATTATGTGACACAGGAATGTCTTGTTTTAATAATCTACTAGTGACATAATCGCCGGTATAAATTATTAATAAGCTAAAATAATTAAAATTGATACATTGTATACTTCTATTTTTATTCTATTTCTTACAAAAGGATTTATGATCAGTCACTAGAAAGATTGAAAAGGTATAATTTTTAGGAAGCATATATGAAATATAACTTCAAAATTCAACCTAATCTCGGATTCTTTTGTACGATCGATATTGCAGTACCTGTAACATGAAGTCCCATAATATGAGTAGTCTCTTTTGCTTCGACTATACTGGCTTATTGTAAAGGAAATACAAGATGTCCTCGTTACGATGTATGATGAAACCGTGCAGTGATTTATAGAATGAAACCATACAGTGGTCCGCACCATCGCTGTAACAAATAACGAACTTCATTATAAAGTAATTAATTTAAAAAGTTGAAAATATTTTTGAAATCTTGCATTTACATATTTTAAAAAATTTATATTTATGTTCACTACCTCTAAAATCAGTAGCGCCGCCTAGTAAACACATGCGGAACTATAGAAATAATTAATTGCGTTACTTCGTAAAATAAGGCATTTTTACGATATTCCGATGTAATATACAATAACATGTTTCAAAGAGCAACATAAAATAGCTTCAGAATGTTTTACACAGCTTGTTCCAAATGGTGGAAATATTTTCCCCTAAGCGGCTCTTCTTTCCTAGGGAAATCAGATTCACATTTGAGTGTATTAACTTGCTAAAGTTCCATAATTCGTGCCTTAATGTCGTTCCGAAATTGTCCAAAAAACGTAAAGAATGTACGAATTGTACAAATTATGTGCAGTAAAAGAACGCGGTGGTGCTGAAGCATTGTTTTTTAAATAAAACATTCATAAAAGTGGAAATTTCGTGATAGGTATTATTGTACGTATATTTTTCATTTTTTGAAATTAACTATTCTAAATAGCGTGCATCGTTTATCCTCTCGCAAAACTGTATTCTTTGGTAACTTAACCTATTTACTGTACTTTGCAGAGAATTCCACGAAATCATAAAAAGAATGGCAGTTGGTTCGACAAAAGTTGTACAGGTGACGAATATCGCACCTCAGGCAACTAAAGATCAAATGCAAACTTTGTTTGGGTACCTTGGTAAAATAGAGGATATCAGATTGTATCCTACTATACGCGATGTAGCGGTACCTGTCGTCCGCAGAAATGTCTGCTCTGTCATATGTGATGGTTAGATTTTCGCCTAGACCCATAGTTTTTTAAATAAATTGAAAAATATCAGAACAAATTGGTGCGTTTTTGGTGTCTTTCTTACTTTGATCATCATTTAAACGTATTTAAATATTTACAATGTAATAACAATTTATAGAGTTTTATTCAGGATAATTCACAGATTCTTCTCGTGTAAAAAGCCACTGAATAGCTGCTACGGTAAAAGCACAACAAATTTCCAAAGTTGAAAATTTGCATTTTTTTTTTAAATTAATTTTCTCCAAAACTGTACGTCCTAGAGAAAAACAGATTTCACATTCAGCTCGCAAGAATCTATAAGAATTTCATAGTAGCCGTTACGAAATCAGTTGGCTGTTGTACAGTGTAATGAAAGATGAAAGTGATAGGTGACAATGAAGTTTCTTGAGAGTTTTTTGAGAGTTTCTGTATGGTGATTGATTTATATTAACAGTAAGGACCGGTGGATCGGACCGGTGATAGAGACACATTTTTATTGTGATTATTTGCGGTTTAATGAGTGAGCTACATTTAAATTTGTTAATTACTCAATTCACATTTTTATTTGTTGAATAGAAAAGTTATTCAATTTTTTAAAAATGAGGATTTGTTCTTTTTCATCATTACAATATTTAACGAAAATAATTTTCCATATTTTAGCTATTATTTCTTTGCGATAACGAATAAATGTATTGAATAAATTCGATTTACTTTGATTACGTGAGTAGAGACTAATTTTGTTATTTCTTATTCATGAATGAATGATAATTCAACAATAATCCCGATTTTTTTATTCATTATTCAATGTAACTTTCATCTAACAGCTTTCTATTATACCGACGTTATTCCGACGTTATACCGATAGTATCGATACATTTGTTCACGACGACTATCGGCCGTCATATTCGAAGCTGTCGCGCGACCGGTTTATACGCGCTCTCATTGGTCAGTGTTTTTCATTAATAATTCAAAAATTAAGCTTTAACCAGCATTTCAGCAAAGGAAAAAGTTGTTCAGAATTACTTCAGCTACCACCCCCTAAAATTATGCCCACCAGTAGCCGAACACCCTGTATTTTCCTAGGTCTGCCCGATTTTGGATTTGCACTAAAATGGAAAAATAAGAATTGTGTGAAATCATTACACGATGTACATAATAGTCTCATGCGGGAAATAAAATTGGTAGATATTGTAACGAAAATACTACCTTATCCTAATTCAGTATTATGTACAAGTATAGGAATACACTGGATACACGTACACATGTTTCTGCTTGATAATAAGTAAGGTAAACGATACTCTTATCTGGATACGTAATAAACTTATTGTTTAAAAGTTTAAAAGTAGTTATTTGTTACTGCCATATATAGATCGTTGCATTAGACAGTGATTACTAATTATTAGTTCTTCTAAATTTCCGGATAAGTTAGTTTTCAAATACCACATTGAATATTTACTAATATTATATTACGAGCAAATATTATATTTGAACTAATGTCTCTTTATTCTATAGTTATAGTAAAAATTGATGTCTTCCTGTTATCATACTGCTAAATACTTTCTTTGCTAATAAGTTTAATAAAAATACCATAAGTTCTGGCATATTTTCATGAAACTGTCAGTTCGACAAATAAATAAGTAATTACTGACTTATAAATATTTGTAATTACTTTCCGTAGTAGTCGTCGTAGTAAAAGCATAATTAAAAGACTTGCAACAATGATGCTGCAAGATCCTTTCGGTAACTTTAATTCGCATTCAGGAGCGTGTGAAATAAAGAATTAGTTACGAAAAGGTACCTTTACCTTACTCCACTACAGCAGAAAAATTTCATGGACACATGACTTAATA